GGAAGAAATACTATTCCGTGCTTGGACTGCTGGTCCAATTGACTTTGATGGAGCTATGGTCCATATATACCCTGACCTCTCTAGGCAAACCCGTATGATGTGGGGGATGTTGCCACCCTTTATGGAGGTAATTCATGAGGCTGGGGCAACGCACCGCTGGGGCCATCCATTTCATCATCCGTAAAGAAGGGGCTGAGTTTCCTCTTCGCTCTCCGGACCAACTTCCTGCACTGTTTGACCTCCTGGTCAAGTCTGCTGTTGAGGTGTCAAACTGGCTGGACTCTCTATTGCATCCATATGCTTCACCTGCTTCATTTCCGCAGCCACAGAGGCTCAGGAGTCCCCGGTCCAGAGCTTCAAGCCAGGACTCTGCCAGGAGGAGACCCCCTAGGCTTACGCTTGCTGCTGCTGTAGATTTATTGGCCCTTTTGCTTGTTACCGTCTGGGTTTCATTGTACCAGGGGCTGCTAAGGGATAACAGAGGGGGTTTCGTGCTTCCCTCTTTCCTTGTCTCCTGAATGTGGGGTGACTTTTTTTTTTTTTTCTATTCATTTTTTGTCTTTTACTTGGACGCCTGATTTTTGCATCTAGGGTGGTGACCTCTGTTTTTGATGGCTCCAGGTGCTGGAAGGGTTGCTACTCTAACCTAAGTTTCTTAATGACATCTGGAGCTTTGTTGTTGTTTGTTGGGGGGGGGGGATCCCTTCTCCCCTCCCTGCCCCGCTGGCCTGGTTCTGTTAGTTTTGTATTTTGCCGGTATTATCTCTCCAGGCTGTTCGGGGAGTGATTGTTTAGCCTCCTCCTTGCCTTTCGGTGATGGGGATGCCACCGGGGGGAGGGGTGTGTGACCCTCCTCTTGGCCATATACTGTATGTGTGTCGCACTGTTGGTCTTATTTGATATCCTGCTGCTACCTTTTTCACTATTTGACATTGTCTCACCTGCCCCTGCATATTGTTAAACTGCTGTTTGCTTTTGGGGGTGCATTGTATGATTTCCCAGTCCCCCTATGCCCTTGGATTGAGGACTAGCTGCCCCTGGTTTGGGGTTCTCCCACCTGGTTTTTCCAGGCGGATTGGGGGTATTCTCTCCTCCGCTCCGATGGTGGTAGGGGGACATATATGTGGTTTCCCGATATTACTCCACAGTGGATCCTGGGGGGAAATTCTCTTACCTGTGTACGTTATGCTGGCATTTTTTGTCTCTTGCTCATGCAACTCCCTCTCTATTTTTTTATCTTTTGTGTGCCTTTTCTGACTTATCTCATCTCTTCTCTTCTGACCTCACCTGCCTGCTGTTTTGTTTTGACTCCCCATAGGGCTGATCCTTGTGGAGGTGCTCCGCTCTCCTCCCAAGGACTTCAGTTTGTCCACTATTGTAGATATTTCTCATTCTACTTCCCTTCTTTACCCTTTCTCTTCTCCGCTTTCCCTTCTTCTCACCCTCCCCTTTCATCCCCCCCCCCCCCACTTTTTACAGGAAACACACTTCAAATGAGATCATATTCCGAAATTAACTAATCGTGACTTTCCGTGGGTGTATCACAGTTCCTCCCCCATTTCTAAATCCAAAGGTGTTAGTATTTTGATCAGCAGTGCAGTGCCGTGGTCGTGTGTCTTGTTGCGATCGGACCCGCTTGGCCAGTATCTGTTGCTCAAGGGCAAGATTTAGGGAGTGCAGTATACCTTCCCCAATGTGGACCAGGTTCAATTCTTGCATGCTCTGCTACCCACTCTCCTGGGCTTTGTCTAGGGGACCTTGATTTTTGGTGGGTATCTTAATTTTTGCAATGGATCCTTTGTTGGATGTTTCTCGGGGCTCCCCTCATCTTTCCTATGCTCATCTCTGATGTTTGAAGGGTGATTTACAGCTCTTGTGCTTAGTCGACCCGTGGCGTCTAATGAATCCCCAGTGTCGTGATTACTTTTTTCTCACCTGTTCACCATACCTATTCCCATCTCGACTATCTTTTGATCTCACACCCGGCTCTCCCTGCTGTGCTCACCTTTCAGATTGATGTTATCTCCTTCTAAGACCATGCTCTGGTTCATCTTATTCTTCGGCTGGACTCATTGACCTGGCCAACCCCCTTGTGGTTTGAGAGGCCAATAAGCCAGTGATTAGGGGCCTTTTGATTCGTGTAGGAGCACATCTGTAGCGAGAGTGTTCTCATCAGATTGACAGCCTACTGCAAGACCTTGGCAGGTTGGAGTGCCCCCATAAAGCGTCTTTGGCGCGGGCTCTCTCCAGAGTTTGCAAGAACTTGCGATCCATGCTCTATCACAAGACCAAGCAAAAATTGGCGTGGGCCCAATGCTCAATGTATGAATTTTCAAATAAACCGGGCACTTTGCTGGCCAGGGCTCTTCGGTGGCCCCCGAACCTACATTCCACATATCCAAAATTCTTTGGATCAGAAATTGACTGTCAGCCGATATTGCCAAATTTCATAGATATTGTCAGGGCTCCAGGGTATGTCCAGAGGTATGTAAACTGACGTAGGGAAACGCAGGCTTCAGATATGTTATAAACAATATAATTTATTAACACTAACAATAGATAAACGCAGTGCAATACTAAAACATAACACAGTGCAAACGAACCAAACCAAACCACCCACAGATAACAATACATACAATGCAAGCATCGTCAGGCAGGCCGGGTCAATAACAATTGGGCAGGTAGGAACAGGAGGAGCAGGCAGAGAGTAGTCAGGTCACGAGCCGGGTACAGCAACTAACGGGCAGGTAGGTACAGGGGGTCAGGCAGAGAATGGTCAGGGTCACAAGCCAGGGATCAAACAGGAGAAGTCAGCAGAGGTCCGGATCAGGCAGGGTCAGCAACGAATCAGTCAGACAGGAACAGGAACAGGGATGCAGGTAACAAGATACAGGGGCCCATTGAAAAGCACACACCAAGGCACAGACTGCAGGTCTGGCCATCCCTTAAATACACCTGCATAATCAGCTTCAGGTGTTTGGCTGGCTGCAGGGTTGAGTCTCTGATTGCTGAGAGCACCCGCTGGCCAGCCCTGGTACTGCAGCCCACAAGGCAGGTGAGTCCCACCATTACTGGCAAGCCCATTCCTGACAGTACCCCCCCCCCCAAGGAGCGGCCTCAGGACGCTCCAAACAGCCCTAGCTGGGCAAAATGTTCCACCGCCCGGGTCTGGTAACTGGCGGGATATCAAAGACTGGCACATCGGGCTGGACTCCGGGCAGCGGCACATCGGGCTGGACTCCGGGCAGCGGCACATCGGGCTGGACTCCGGGCAGCGGCACATCGGGCTGGACTCCGGGCAGCGGCACATCGGGCTGGACTCCGGGCAGCGGCACATCGGGCTGGACTCCGGGCAGCGGCACATCGGGCTGGACTCCGGGCAGCGGCACATCGGGCTGGACTCCGGGCAGCGGCACATCGGGCTGGACTCCGGGCAGCGGCACATCGGGCTGGACTCCGGGCAGCGGCACATCGGGCAGGACTCCGGGCAGCGGCACATCGGGCAGGACTCCGGGCAGCGGCACACCGGGCAGGACTCCGGGCAGCGGCACATCCGGGCAGGACTCCGGGCAGCGGCACACCGGGCAGGACTCCGGGCAGCGGCACACCGGGCAGGACTCCGGGCAGCGGCACACCGGGCAGGACTCCGGGCAGCGGCACACAGGACTCCGGGCAGAGGACTCCGGGCAGCGGCACATCGGGCAGGACTCTGGGCAGAGGCACACCGGGCAGGACTCTGGGGCAGCGGCACACCGGGCAGGACTCCGGGCAGCGGCACACCGGGCAGGACTCCGGGCAGCGGCACACCGGGCAGGACTCCGGGCAGCGGCACACCAGGCAGGACTCCGGGCAGAGGCACACCGGGCAGGACTCCGGGCAGAGGCACACCAGGGCTGGCACCCGGATCACCCAGGCGGAGCAGCGGGCACCGGGCCACCAGGCGGAGCAGCGGGCACGGGCCCAGGCGGAGCGACAGGGGCACCAGGCGGGCGACAGGCACCGGGCCACCAGGCGGAGCAGCGGGCACCGGGGGTCACAGGCGGAGCGACAGGGGTCACCAGGGCCACCAGGCGGAGCAGCGGGCACCGGGCCACCAGGCGGAGTGACTGGGGCACCGGGCCCCCAGGCAGAGCGACAGGCACCGGGCCCCCAGGAGGGGCGGGCAGGGGCACCGGGCCCCCGGGCATCAGCAGCGGGCGCTGGGCTCCCCGGCGGAGCGGGGGCCCCACCACGGGCGACAGGCACCGGGTCATCAGGCACGACAGCGGACATCGGGTCACCAGGCATCAGGTCATTTCTGGCTCGCCAGTGGGCACTGCGTCATCTGGCAAGGCAGTGGGCACCGAGTCACCAGGCATGACCGTGGGCTCTGAGTCAACTGGCATGACCGCGGGCACTGGGTCAGACATTGGATCGTCTGGCTGGGCAGCGGGCATCGGGTCACCAGGCATCAGGTCATTTGGCTCGACAGCGGGCACCGCGTCACCAGGCACGACAGTGGGCTCTGAGTCAATTGGCACGACAGCGGGCACCGGGTCATCAGGTACCGGATTGTCTCTGGCTCACACAGCAGGCACCGGGTCATCATGGCGCTGGATCATCTGGCTCGACAGCGGGCATCGGGTCACCAGGCAGGACAGCGGGCACTGGGTCATCAGGCATTGGATTGTCTGGCTCGACAGCAGGCATCGGGTCACCAGGCATCAGGTCATTTGGCTCGACAGCGGGCACCGGATTGTCACCAGGCACGACAGTGGGCTCTGGTCAATTGGCACGACAGCGGGCACCGGGTCATCATGCGCTGGATCATCTGGCTCAACAGCGGGCACTGCGTCATCTGGCAAGGCAGTGGGCACCGAGTCACCAGGCACAACAGAGGCTCTGAGTCAATTGGCACGACAGCAGGCACCGGGTCATCAGGTAGCGGATCGTCTGGCTCGACAGCGGGCATCGGGTCACCAGGCATGACAGCGGGCACTGGGTCATCAGGCATTGGATCGTCTGGCTCGACAGCAGGCATCGGGTCACCAGGTAGGACAGCGGGCACTGGGTCACCAGGCATCAGGTCATTTGGCTCGACAGCGGGCACCGCGTCATCTGGCAAGGCAGTGGGCACCGAGTCACCAGGCACAACAGTGGGCTCTGAGTCAATTGGCACGACAGCGGGCACCGGGTCATCAGGTAGCGGATCGTCTGGCTCGACAGCGGGCATAGGGTCACCAGGCATGACAGCGGGCACTGGGTCATCAGGCATTGGATCGTCTGGCTCGACAGCGGGCATCGGGTCATCAGGTACCGGATCGTCTGGATCGACAGCGGGCACCGGGTCATCTGGCGTTGGATCGTCTGGCTCGATCAGTTCATCAGGCTGGGTACAGACATCAGGCTGGGTAGAGACATCAGGCTGAAGTGTGGGTGCCGAGGCACCAGGATGAACCACACGGAAGGCAGGTTCTCAGACGGCAGGCTCACCGATTTGGATACTAGCAGGATGGTACTGGTTGGAAAGAATTTTCGCTTTTTTCTGGTTTTAACTACTGGAGCACTGCAAGTAAACGCAGGTCTGCAAATGAATGGAGCAGCTGAGGACAGAGAAGAGCTGGAAGATGGAACAGAGGAGGGAGCAGTTGCTACAGAGGACTCCTTTACAGGGTTAAAGAAAGGATAGGTGCAGCGAGTGGGAGCAGAGGACTGGTATGTGGTAGTTAGAGTATACTGGGCAGTCACTGGGGGTGCTGTCGGGGATGCAGGAAGAGTGCCTTGAGTGGAGGAATGATGTTGTAAGCTGACTGAGGCTGGGTGCAGCAAGTCTGACCATGTCTGCAGTATGGGTTGAACAAAGCTCCGCTTACACAAAGCCTGTCTGGTCAAAGACTGCACTGCGTTTATACAATCTTAGTACCTGTGGTGAACATGCAGAATAACGCTCCAGAAAGTAATCCACATCATCCTCTAATAACCATACCAGGGACTCTACCTGGTCGGCACTAAATGGCGGCAAAAATTCATCCCTGCATTCGGGGGTACCAGATGAAACCAACTCAGCACAAACCTGAATCAATGGCTGCACCTCAGAGAATTCTGTGCCCTGATCTACTAGGCAATGAGCGATCCGTATACATTCTAGCAGTTGATCCCGGGGATACTCCTTCAGAGTCTGATAAGCATATTCTCTGTCATCAACCACTAGCAGAGATAAATACACAACCTCATCAAGATCCATCCTTCCCAGCAACAAGCCAAGATGGCTTCCCTGTGCAGCCACTTCTGGTCAGGATTGGCCTTGGTGTAATGTCAGGGCTCCAGGGTATGACCAGAGGTATGTGAACTGACGCAGGGAAACGCAGGCTTCAGATATGTTATAAACAATATTATTTATTAACATTAACAATACATAAACGCAGTGCAATACTAAAACATAACACAGTGCAAACGAACCAAACCGCCCACAGATAACAATACATACAATGCAAGCATCGTCAGGCAGGCCGGGTCAATAACAATCGGGCAGGTAGGAACAGGAGGAGCAGGCAGAGAGTAGTCAGGTCACGAGCCGGGTACAGCAACTAACGGGCAGGTATGTACAAGGGGTCAGGCAGAGAATGGTCAGGGTCACAAGCCAGGGATCAAACAGGAGAAGTCAGCAGAGGTCCGGATCAGGCAGGGTCAGCAACGAATCAGTCAGACAGGAACAGGGATGCAGGTAACAAGATACAGGGGCCCATTGAAAAGCACACACCAAGGCACAGACTGCAGGTCTGGCCATCCCTTAAATACACCTGCATAATCAGCTTCAGGTGTTTGGCTGGCTGCAGGGTTGAGTCTCTGATTGCTGAGAGCACCCGCTGGCCAGCCCTGGTACTGCAGCCCACAAGGCAGGTGAGTTCCTCCATTACTGGCAAGTCCATTCCTGACAGATATTATCGTGATCTCTACAATTTTAGGCCATTCTTTAGTGAGTCTCCCCCTCAATGGGGGCACCTTCCCCTCTCTCCTATATCTTGGCCTCGGGTATGCCGTCTCTTACCCCGTATATTTGTGCAGAGTTGGAGGCCCCTATCACTTCGGAGGAACTTGGAGTGGCCTTGGCTCAATCAAGGCCCAAGAAGGCCTCTGGGCCTGATGGATTTTCTCCAACCTATTACCGGACCTTTCTTGATGTCCTCTCTCCCCACTTCATCTCAGCTCTCAATTCCATTGTCCAGGGGCACCCTTTGCCTTGTGATACCCTCAGGGCATACATCTCTCTGATACCTAAAGAGGGCAAAGACCCTTCCAGGTGTGGGAATTACAGGCCGATTGCTCGGATCTAAAAATTATTTGCCAGAATGTTGGCTAACAGGTTGTTACCACATTTATCTTCTATCATTCACCGGGATCAGCCTGGGTTCATCCCTCTATGGGAACCGAGAGGCAACACTACGAGAGTCCTTAACCTTATCCATTCGGCCAGAACCTCCCACCGCCCCTTACTCCTGCTTTCTACGGATGCGGAGAAGGCCTTCGACAGGGTCAGTTGACTGTTCATTATGTCCACTTTGCGTCATATTGGTGTAGGACCAGCTATGATGTCTTGGATTTCTTCTCTCTACTCTTGCCCCTCTATGGCTGTTAAGGTCAATGAGACTAGCTTGGACTTTTTTGACATAACAAATGGCACTCGCCAGGGCTGCCCCCTTTCTTCATTGATTTTCGTGCTTTCCTTGGAACCTTTTCTCTGCACGATGCGGAGAGAACCAAATATTCCTGGCCTACTCAAGCCCTCTGGGGCTCATAAGGTGGCTGCTTTTGTGGACGATTTAGATTTTTTTTTTTTTTTAACTGACCTGCTTACCTCTTTGCCAGCCCTGGTAGATACTTTGTGTCTTCGGTTCTCTGTCCTTTCAGATTAACTTTTCCAAATCTGCTGCCCTCAATATCATGTCTCTGGATGCTGTGGTGAGCCAGCTTCATCCTATGCTCCTCTTCTGCTGGGCATCTGAGTCTGATATCTTGGGGTCCATATTACACCTGACCCTGCTGCTCTTTACCTGGACAACTTTAAACCTCTTCTACAGCGTATGAAAATCGATTTATTGATTTATTTATTCAGTGTAGTGTCCTCAAGATGACTTTGCTTCCCCGTATTTTCTACATCCTTCAGGCCCTACCCATTAGTTTGCCGCCTCCTTTTTTTTAAGAAAATTCATGCTCTCTTCCAAGACTTTGTTTGGTCTCATCAGAAACCTCGCCTGCAATTTCGGCTCTTACATTTACCTAAGCGCCTCAGCGGTGTGTTTTTACCAAATATCCGCACTTATTACAAAGCGGCTCACCTTACGAGACTGGTGGACTGGCACTGTCTTGCGGAGACGAAGCTCTTGGTGGCTATGGAGTTGGAGGATTCGGGGGGCACCACCAGAAGCTGGCCCTGGATCCTGTTGAAACTTCCAAGAACCTTATTGGATCACCCTACTCCGGGAGGTACTTTGCTGGTGTCCCGCAAGACTTTTTTTGGAACTCCTCCCTCTCCCCGCTGACCTCTCCTATACTCCCCGTTCTGGGAAACCCTGAGTTTTCTCCGGGTTTGGAGGACCCACAGTTTCGCCACTTGGAGGCCTCAGGGCATTCGCACTTTTCGATTTCCTGAATGTGGATGGTAAACTTGCTCCTTCCACTTTCTCGATGGGTGCGGAACCTCCATTGGCCTTCTGGAATAGCCTGCAACTCCGTACTTTCCTCTGAAAATATTCTCGTTCTCCGGGGATCAGCCGTCGTCTTACACTCCTGGAAAATATCTGTCATAAGAGGGAACCCATTAGGCATTGTCTTTCCATTCTTTATTCTGCCTTGATCAATCCACAAGATGACTTTCAACCTTCTTTTCTCACTCACTGGGAAGCTGATTGAGGTCTTCGCCTCACAGAAACGCAGAAAATGGAGATTCTACATTTCGCACAGAAGTCTTCCATTGCATGTAGGGTTCAGGAAACCAGTTTTGACCCGATGGTATTAGGGTTCCTACGACCCTTCCCCGTATTTTCCCGCAGGTTTTGGATCTATGCTGGCGTTGTGGGCTTGAGCGTGATACGATATTTCACATCTTCTGGACTTGCTCTAAGATCCAACCTTTTTAGCAGATGGTAGCCGATACCATCAGGGGTCTGATGAGTGTTTGACGTGGCCCGCGACCCCGCAACATGCTTGACGATTCAACTGTTGAATGCGGCCAAGGCTTGTATCCCTCTGTGTTTTGGAGGTATGTGCATCCACCCACAAGGTCCCTTTTGGTTCTCTAAGGTCAACGAGCTGAGAGATGTGGAGGACCTCACGGACTCTCTGTATGTCCATGGGGAGGTGTTTAGAGATACTTTGAGGCCCTGGCAATATTTTGTCTTCACCGATGCCTATCTTTGGGCATCCCCTTGATTTGGCTTGTGTGGGCCTGACATGGCCACTGTCTGGTTGGTTGGGGTCTGTCTGGGCCCTTGGGTGGTAGGGCTGCTCTTTCTTGTCCTATTATCTCTGTATGATTTCCCCCCCCCTTTTTTTTTTTTTTTTTTTTGGACCTTTTCCATCGGGGGAATATATATATATATATATATATATATATATATATATATATATATATATATATATATATATATAAAGGGAAAGGAAAGAGGAAAAAAATGTTTTATATGTGTGTGTGTGTGTGTATGTATGTGTGTATATATATGTATGTGTGTATATATATATATATATATATATATATATATATATATATATATATATATATATATGTATGTATGTGTATATATATATATATATATATATATATATATATATGTTTTATGTATGTATGTATGTATGTATGTATGTATGTATATGTATATATATATATATATATATATATATTTTTTTTTTCTCTTTCCTTTCCCTCCCCTCTCTCTCTATTTCTTAGACATCTGCTTTATGCAAACACAATTCCCAATGTTAACTTCTAATTGACGGGGGATATTTTGTATTCAAACTGTTATTTGAGTTTGTTGCCGGAACTTCATCTCCCCGGCTCTGAAAACCGGGAGGGTCTGGATCTTATTGTGACCTGTCCAATTGGATATCGGTCTGTGTATCATTACCTTTTCTTCTGCTAGGGTCCGCTTAGTACCATGTAGTGGTCCTCTATTTGTTTCTGTCTACATTGTTCCATATAGCATTGATGTTTGGTTTGATCTTTTTGACCTGTATACTGTGTGGGAGTTAGCTCAGGTGGGGGATCACCTTCCCTGGGAAAAAGGTAGACCGCACAGCAGGCTTTCTTTAAAATCTGACTGGTCGTCAGTTTTATTAAAGGTTGCAAAATGTTTTCTCTCACTGGTGAAGGGCTTCTCCCTGTCACCAACAAAAACGAAACAATAAGCAAACCTTTTCTCTTGTTTGTCTAACACACACTTTCATGCACAGCTCTCTCAGGAATGGCCCTGAGTCCCAGGCCATGAGTAGCTCCTTACTCCAACCCTATCTTATTTATACCACCTGCTTGTGGTCATCAGTGGAGCACAAAATCCAGTTCGGAACCACCTCTGCCATTGTGGCCCAGAAAACCCAGAGTGGATTCCACCTTAAACTCCCAAGTATTGATCGCATGCGAGGTGAC